AATAAAACCCAGGTTATCTAAGCAGGAGATATTGTCAACATACTTCCTCTAAATTTTCTCATTGTGAAGTCTACTGAGTAATTAGGCACAGGCTCTTCCTGAAGATTTCCTCTCTGTAGCTCTGACTAGTAGGATAATTAAAATAGCAACCATCATGCAGTGGTAAGCTGATGCTAATTATCCCCCCTTGCAAAATTTAGTGAAGCACAAGTTGAGAATGTAGCATAAGCCTGAGTTATAAAGAACTGGTACAAAAAGCTATCTGATAATATTCCCTTTTTAAAGGAAGAATTATTTCACTTAAGTGAATTATGTGGTGTTCTAGCTAAACTAAAATAAGAACCTGAGAGACTGAAAATGCCTATGGAGACATTCAGTTTAATTAATTATTAGCTAAAGTGATCCAAGCTTATATTCAGAGGAGGGATTTCTTTTTTCCCCAAAAGCATTTAAAGAATATAGGCCATGATTAAAGTGATCAAGCTTCTGAGTGGGTTATTAATATTGCTTTCAATTAAAACATTTTAGTTAGCAAAGAGGACAGGCTTAGAGCAGGCACAGTGTCAGTCACTGTGGTTCAGCTGACAGAACAGCTGGGGTCACTTGGTTGTTGCCAGTCAGATGTCCATTATAAACTTGTCCTAACCTCAAAAGTCATTTTGATTTCTGACTCTCTTATCCCTCTAACTAGAACAGAGGCTGATTTGCTTAAGAAAGTTCTTCTGGGTTACATGAGAAATTTAGAAACTAAGACTAGGTGCTTTTATTGCGGAGGGCAAAAAAAAACCCCTTCCTGTTCCAGAAAATCAATGTCCTCCAGGATGGCCTCTGTAATACAGCAGGCTGTATCACAGCTCACAAGGAAGCAAAGCCCACAGACTCCTGTGACATGTCCTTGACTCAGTTTTAATCCACATTTGTTCCTTAAAAGCACTAGTAAGCAGAGAGAAATGTTTTATTATGCTTCAGTGTTTTGTTCTGGAGAATGATAAAGAAGCTACTTTGGAAGCTCTTACCCAACATTATTAAGCAGTGTCTCTGTCAAATCTGAAATTCAGACACTGTTAAAATATACTAGAAGAATTTATTTAGTCTGAACCGTTAATTATTTTGTGTGTGTGTGTGTGTTCAGAGCTGGGGCTGAGTATTATTTCATGGTCTGTATGTTGCAATGAAATAGTACTTGCTCTTCAACGGCACTGAGCATTATACAGTCAAGTACGATGAGTGATTCTCCTCTCGTTCTTGCTGCTGTCAGACAGAAGTGCCTCTGTTCAGTCAGTAGTCTCATGGCTTTATTGACTTTGCAAAGATAACATCAGCACCAGCTGAGGATCATTCCTGATATTTTTAGGCACTTGTAAGATGTCAATGAAACGTCAAAAGTAGTTTGTGATGTACTGCCCTCCTAATGGGATAGATGTGTGTAATTTTGAGCAATTTACTATAAAAATAACAATGTTATTTTGTTGGTGTTGTGGTGAGGTTTGCTATATAAATCGTGCAATTCTTGAATCTAGTGTTATTAAAACAAAAAGCAATGTATTTACAGATTCTTACTACAATTTGGGAAGCATAATACACTTAAAAGTTCTAAAAAAACCTAACCAAAAAAAAAGAAAAGCTATTTCCTCATTGGTATGTAATATGCTGGCAGTACGAAGTGGTCAGGAAAGTCAGTAACCATAAAATAATACATTTTCTCAGATGCTTGCTAGAGAGAGTTTCAGTAGTAATGCACTATAGAGAGACAGTAGCAATTAAGTTCTAGAAAAGTTAGATTTTCAGGCATGATAGGGCTTTGAGCACCAAAACAATTCCTAACACATTTCCTTTGGCTTGTAGTATGTACACGTGTTTATGTAACACCTGACAATAAATGCTACTTTTAAATAGAAATTACAATTGTGCAAGAGATTGTGGGCCTAATTGTCAGAGCTTTAAACTAGACTTGAAGGAGGAAGGGGATGTAACCGGGCTTGCTAGTGAGGCCCCTAGGTGTAGTTGCCCAGGACTTGCGGAGCAGTGTGCTAGCATTTACTTTGGCAGGGGAGTTGGACCCAGTGATCTCCAGAGGTTCCTTCCAACCCCTACCATTCTGTGTATTTAATCTGAAAAAACAGTACTTTATAATGATGAAAAGCCTAAGAAGTAGGTAAGCACTACACCTTTTCTTAACATTATTTTTAAACTCCTATTTAATACACAAATACATGGTTTTATCTCAAAAAAAAAGAGAAATCCCAAGAATTATTTGCATAATGAATGAAGAGGCCTAGAAAGGTACTAGAAGCCCTTTTCTACAGAGAAAATACTGCCGTCTTCAATGTGTTGCTGCCAGCTCAAGACGATACCCTCAAAGTACTCTATTCACCCCAGGTTACACAGGTTATTACTGTGTAGATTACACTGAATTATCTGCACCTGCATAGCTACTCTTGCTATATTTGCTTGTGTAAAGGTGCCTGAATCCTGGTGGCATAGCCTTGAGCACTATATTATTATATTAGTATATTACATTACTTTATTTTTAGTTTGAGCTTCCCATTCCAGATTTCAATGTTATATTTGAGAAAAAAACGTTTTGTCCTCATCGAATGGGCCAGGCTGAGGAAGATGCAGCTGTACTGGTGATGGTGGGGTACAGTTAAGTGCATGTTGGTAACTAGAGGTATTCTGGGTGGTAGAGAAAGGAGCAAGAAGCAAGTTAGAGTTCCTTTCTTTTTCCTCCTGGTAAATCTCTGGCAGTATTCATCAAGCTCAGGTGGCTATTCAGGTTACAGTTAAAATTTCTTAAAGCACATCTGTACCAAGGCAACAGATGGCAATGGTAATTCCAGCAGCTTCTTATCTGCCTGTCCCTCTAATTACCATTTATCAGGGTTATTATCACTATGCTTGATCCAAGAATCAGGCAGAAATGGGTCTGGCCACCAGAAAAGGCGACACAAGAGGAACAGGAGCAGCTGGTGCAGGTTCTAAGGGGAATAAGCGGGTTTGCAAGGGTCCAGTTTGGGGATGAGCCCAGGAAAGGAGGCAGCAACAGAGCAGGACGTTCCAGAGAAATGACTAATGCCACTGTTGTCCTTGTGGAGGGATGTGAAGAGGAGATATCTGGGCAATCACCAATGAAGTAATTTGTTATGGATGGCATTGCATGTGAAAATTATCTATAGAAATTCCATTTGAGGGTGGACATTCTTCCCCTTCCCTCTTTTCCATGAATCATTCAAAAGGAAGAAGGAGAAGACAGAATTGGAGTAGCAGCATGGCTGGACAGACAGGGAAGAAGCGGGATTGCCTGCAGCAGAAAGGGCTTTTGGCAGCTATTAACAGGATCCTGCCTATGGATCTGGGGTCAGCTACAGATCTACCACTAATGTTAGAACCTTCTCCACGTGTCATGGTCTTAAACAGGTTCAGCATGGGTGTAAACCACTCTGAAGAGCCAAGCAACTAGGCCTGGTGTGATTTAGTCTAACCTGGTACAGAGAACAAAGGAACTTCAAGCACCCAGTTCCACAACCAAGCAGATCAAACACCTGCCTATTTCTTAGTCATTTGCCTTTGTATTTCTTTCCTTTGTTTTACACAGTTTATCTTTGTTGTTAAACATATTTATTTTCAGGCAGCTGTGATACCTACAACATTTGCAGGACAGATTCAGAGTACTGTTTATTATTCTGGTAGATGTATTCCTAAAGCAAGCTTCTGCATGAGTTTTTGGGAAAGAAGAAATTGTACCCAAAGCCTCAGTAACTATCACACTTACTTAAAATCACATAAAAGCATCCAGAAAAGCACTCTGTATAAAGCATCATGGTCCCATCACTGCATCCTATTTTTCTTGGAAGCCATGGTGTGTGATGTCTGGATGTAGATGCCCAAGGCACTTCTGAGTTACTGTGTTCCGCCACAGTGGCAGCTGATGCACTACCTTCTATCATGTCAATAAGCTTAAGCGTCACTTAGTGCAACAATTTTTGTAGTTTACTTTCACAGTGTCACCCCATAATTGATAAATGAATACTTACTGGTGTCTGTTAAGATTAGAATGAGTAGTTATGGTATTGTTTCACCTGCATTGGTGTGACATCCAGTGGCTGGATGGGTCAATCACAGCCTCCCATTTCTTGTGAAAGGTGTAAAAATGGCTCACAACTCTACTGAGAACAGAAAAGATCTAGAAGTCCAGCCTTATGTTTGAAATCACTGCCTGAAGTTAATTAGTGGCAGTTGTGCAAAGTATTTTCTTTGCTATCATAATGACAGTGACTTGACAGCAGCATTTATAGTTTATACATGCTCTTTTCCTCCCATGCAGGTAATGAATTAGTAACAGTTTTATTTATTGCACACATAAACCCCACAGTTATCCCAGAGCATCTTTTGCACTGTTGTTATAAGTTGTCATCTGCTAATGCCAGGAAGGAAAAAGACAAGAACATAAAAGTTCCTCTGCTTTTCCAATCTGCTTTACAAGATCCATAAACCTGCTTCATAAATCCAACTAATTTTTTGTATGCTTGGGCTTTTTATACAGGAAAAGGAAAAATGCAATTAAAAAACGTTAAATTATTTTTAATGCCATAAAAATTAACAGAGAAATCGAGCACTGATATCTAGTGTCTGAAATTACTTTAAAAATGTGTTTTCAGGCTCACTAAATTTCAGGGTCAATATTTATTATTAGTGAACTATGACAAGGATGTAGAAATACTATTTTTGCCAGTAAATTTCCTGTTAAGATAGGTAAATTGGACACACACACAGAAAGGACTGTGCAGCCTCAGTACTGCACACGAGGCAAATGTTACCAGCAGAGACAGGAAAACAGCAGCTGTGCACCATTCTTGGACACAAAGTCCTCAGGAGTCACGAGGTTAGCGCAGGATCTGTTTTTTTCATGCCTGGTTTTGCTGACTACAGAATCACTTAGTCAACTGTAATAATCAGAATAAAAGTTCTCTCCTAAAGTTAGACTAGTTTTATGCTAATCTATGGCAAAGAAAAGCAAGTCAAATCTGTCAGAATTGTGTCTAGAAGAAAACAAAGATCAAATATATGAAAATGCCCTTGCTGAGATCGAGTCCTTTGAGCTGCCTCTTGGAACCACCCTAAGGTATGCATCGTTTAGATAATGTTATATTGTTCATGATGGATTTGTTCCATTTTGCATCTGTTCTTTCAGCCAGACCAATATATTAGAAACTTTGTTTTCCTGACCCTGAAACCTACAGGAAAGTTTAATTTAATTTCAATGTGATTGGCCCTAACTGAAAAAAATACAAACCAAGGTCAGCCACTCAGCTCTTTTCACCAAAACAAAGCTATCTGTTACTGCAGGCTGGCTGCAGATTCATTGTGAAGAAAAGTACTCTTAAACTTTAAAACAGGGGAAAATTGCTCTTTTGGGTAGCAGTTTTTAGTTTGATATTAGCAGCTACACTTTTAAATAACTGCTTCTTAGATTTTTAATAAATGCAACCCTTCTTTAACTGCTAGAGACAAAACTACATAAGGTATTATTCTTGATATTCCTAAATATCTGAAGATTTTAGTATTTCATTTGCAGCTTATGGAAACTATTTCATGGTAAAAGTGCAACTGAAAAAATTTCCTCTGCTCATTCATCCCTACAAAAAATGTACCATATAAAAGATTATGATGTTATGTGTCTAAGTATATTGTCAGTATCTGTAGAAGAGTTTTAAAAATAGCCTGCCTGGCATTGTAGGCATCAGATTGCAGTGACCATCAGGCTAAAGAAAGAAAACCTAGTTTACACTGAAAAATGTATTTGTCAATCTATGTCTTCAGTAAGTTGCTGGTGGAAGAAAAAAGGAGCATGGGAAGACTATTACTACATTTAGTGATTTCTTGAAGGAAGTACTACTGCAATGGTAGCCTGTAGGATTTTTCCTCTTTCTGCAGCATGCACTTTGCAGGCACTTGTCTACAGTGGGAAGAGTCCTTGCTGATTTAGTACGTGTCATCAGTAAATTAATCTGAATCAACACTGAGTATGACAAAACCACAAGCATAGACAAGATGTGTCTTTGGTGCCATTTATTAACTAGTGTCCAGGTGTAGCTGCACCAGGGCAGAAAAGATGATGCATTTGATTACAGTAACTGGAAGGGTGCCAAACACTTGCAGCTCTAGACTTTGATGCTTTCACTGTTGTAAACCGTAGTCAGTTCCTTACTGGAAAAGTATTTTACCTTTAAGTTTTACACTTCAGGCCTATTTCTTTATGTTGGCTTTTCACTTTTGCATGGATAACTTTGTCCAGAAGGAACGTGTACCCTGTCTCCTGAGCATGCAAAACCCAAGGACTAGTTCATCTTTGACCATAACCCACGAAGTGTATAACTTAAATAGAAAACGGGCTATTCCTCCTTCATTGAACAATGAAGCTTCGCTGTGCCCGTGCGGGAGGGCGCTAGGAAACATGTCAGTTTCCAGCGAAACACAGCAAGAGCACGTACAAAAGGTGCACTTTAAGGTTATTCTGTTTCTACCCCAACTTTGAAATGTCTGTCTCCTAAAGAGAGGAAGGACAGAAGCCGCTGCAGAACCTCCTGCAGAGCTTCCGCGTCG